TGTGCCAGAATGTACAGTGTTATAGCCAACACCTCCCGAGACGGGGTTCAAAAAGACCCCGGAAGGCCGTGATTTAGACATAACTCGTTCAGAAGACCATAAAAATTGTTCTCGTCATTCTGAATATGTTTCTGAATCTTACTGGATGTCCCGAAAGCATTTCACTAACCCATCTATCTCCAACAAAGGTGGATGTCATACGGGGAATGCGAGTAGTGCTACGCTGGTAATAATCCAACAACAATATCGCAACGGCAGTAGCAAATGTCATTCTCCTACGACGTTCACGTTGCGGGGCCATCCTAAATGATTTACAATATAAACATTAATATTCAACTATCCAACAATTTAAAATGTTAACAATTGTGATAATAATAAAAATTCTCATTTGCTACATATAGAAAGATTAGACATGTAGAATGACACATATAGAATAACAAACATATATTAAAAATAAAACAACACAAGTAGAAGTTCAATCAGTACTGATACATAATGAATCCATAAAAAATATCATTCATCGAACAAAACCCGCAAATATTCAAGACGCATTTCAGGCTCAAGCGCCATGAATATTTTCATTCTAGTTGAATCCTCAAGTTTTTTTACACACTGTGCGTGAAATCTTCTATCTGCAACAACTTCAGGAATAGTACCCAAAAGCCTCAAACAGTCTAATATGCTTGCATCAGAGATAGGTGGAGTTGCAAATGCTTCAATCAAACGATCGAAGGAGGTGTTCAAAACATGTTTTTTCTCTTTATTTTTCTTAGCAATCTTCAGCCTCTTTATTGTGCTAGAGTCCCCCATCTTTCTCTGATTAATGCTACGCACATCTTCATCAGGTGTTTTTAGCATCTTGATCTTCAAAATCATTAGACTCTATGTCCTCCTCAGGTAATGAATGCCCCCCCACATGTCCTGTTGGTTGCTCGAAAATATTGACTTCATCATTGTCAGCCATACTGAAGTCTGTATCTGATTGCGAGGAATGTCTTCGGATGAAGTTATGTAGTGCCATTGTTGCAACCACAATGTACACCTGCTTTTGGAAAGGATACGACGACATATCACGTAAGATGACCCATTTCTTCTTCCAAACTCCAAATGTTCTTTCAATTACCCCGCGTAAAGATGAGTGGCGTTTATTAAACATTTCCTTTCTGCCACGAACCGTGCCACTAGCTCGCTCAAAATCAGGAAGATGATATCTCGTGTC